TGCATAAAGACAAAGACAGTGAGACAAAACTAAAAAATGTATGACTGTGAGCTTAACCCATTCGCAGCATTGTTCCAAAATTGGAACACGCGATATTTTGGGATGTAGTTGAATAGATGGAGGCACAAGTATTAATCAGAACCATTGTTAGCAATTCACAGCATCGGGAGCACCTGTTTTCAGTAAACTTTTTAGGTTATATTACGGCAGTAAACATACCAATGCAGCTAGGTTATTTTATTTTTAAAACAATTTTTTGTGTTATTACTGGCGCGTAAACAATACAAACTGCTGAAAAATTGAAGTTCTCTATAAACAGAAGCAAGGTCTGGCTATTGTTTTATTGGTAAGTTTGAGTAAAATAAGTATCTTTTCTCATTTGTACCTTCTATCGTCACATTTTGTTATGTTCCAATAATGGAACATGGCTACTTCTATTGCACTTTGTATTTATTTTAGGTTATGGATTGCAAAACCTTGTACGAAAAAAATCCACCTGTTCCAAACCAGTTTGAACCGACTCATGACAAACTGCATGAAGAGCACTTTGAATCAGCTAACAATATATACTATAAGTCCACCAATGGAGGATTCTGAGGGCGACTCTGAAGCCTCAGGAAATGAAAATGAAGGGGATTTTTGTGAGAAATTTTCTCAAAAAATATTAGGTGCACCAGCTGAAGCTACTCTTGTATCACATGGCAGTAAGCAGCATCAAGAATCCAGCAGTGATGACGATGAGCCTTTAGTAAAATACGTACCCAAAAGCAAAAAATTCAAGTCAAAGTCAAAACTGGAAACTGGGTATCAGCAAGACTTACCAAACTCTGTGAATCTGAATAATGTAATAGAATCTGACACATATAATAACCTGGTTTCAAAAGAAAATCCTATTCAATTTTTCGAATTATTTTGGACTGATGCTTTTTTGAAAACATAAAAGAACAAACTACATATATTGTATGCTACCCAGAAAATGCAAACACATCTTTTACTGTGACCGTGGAAGAACTAAAGGTTTTTTTCTCAATTTTGCTAATTTCTGGTTACTCTAAAAGGCCCAGGAAAGATATGTATTGGAGTATGGACTCTGATCTTCTCAATGAAGCGGTTGCCTAAGGGGATGTCAAGAAATAAATTCCGAAATATTTTGAGAAATTTGCACTTGGTAAATAACACTCAGCTGCCAGCCAATGACAAATTTGGGAAATTAAGGCCACTGATCAACCACCTAAACACTGTTTTTCTACAGCATACCCCTCTTACTCAAACCACATCAATATCTGTTGACGAATCAATGGTACCATACTATAGTCACCACAGTTGCAAGCAAAGAATTCAAGGAAGAGCCTATTAAGATATGGGTTCAAATTTTGGTCTGCAAATGTATCAAACGCTTATCTTGTGAACACTAAACCATATCAAGGCAAGGAACAATATTAGGAGATAGTGACCTTGGCCTAGGAGCTGTTGTTTACACCTTTGCAGAAAAATTGAAACAGCGATTTCCAGATCAAAAATTTAACTTCGTTATAGATAACTTTTTCACGGGTCTTCCACTGATAAAAAAATTAAGTGAAATGGATTTTGGATGCACAGGTACGATCCGGCAAAACAGACTAGAAAAATGTCCTCTAAATAAATCTGCAATGAAGAAATCGCATAGGGGTTCTATGGACTCGTACGTTAATTCAACTAAAGAAGTTATTGTTATGCAATGGAAAGATAACTCCATAGTCCATGTTGCTTCAAACTGCTTTGTCTTGCAGCCCACAAAAGCAGCACGCCGTTATTCTGCTGCTGACAAAAAATATATTATGGTAGAGATGCCTCATGCTATTCAGCAGTACAATACTAATATGGGTGGTACAGATTTAATGGATAGAAATATTTCTAATTATCGCCCGCAACTGCGTAATAATAAATGGTGGTGGCAAGTTTTTATACATCTTTTATGCGCTTCGGTCTCTAATGCTTGGATCTTATACAGAATCTCAAAAGATGAGAAAAAAAGAAATCTAGTGCTGATGAATTCATGGACAGTTCTCGTTCTCTTGATTTACTTGGCTTTATCAGATACATTGTATCAACATATTTACTTCTGAGTCCCAGAGCACAAAGACAAGACGGAGCTATATTTCTAAAGGTTCCTGAGGCAGTCTCCAAGAATATGTCTGTTTTGCACTACCCAAACTCCATGAAACAAAAGATGGAAAGTTTGCAAAAAAAATACTACATTTGGTTGTGGTATATGTATGATTAATGTACATCCACTCGATTGTTTTAAAATATTTCATCAAAGTGCATCTTCGTAGTGTATAAAATAAAAATAAATGTTATATGGATACTTTAGTTTATTTTTAATAATTAGCCAACAAGACCCTTATGACGCCAAGTTCCAAATTTGGAACATTTTTTTTCGCCTGTGGCGATTGTAAATGTTCAAAAAATTTTTTTTACTATTTTTCCACATACAAGCTGCCTAGGCTAAAGCTAAAATTTCTTAAAAAAAAATAATAAAGTTTGGCCGAGAATGGGTTAATAAACAAGCGTCCGCGCATAGTGGCTGATTGCTTATGTATGTGTGAAGCGCGAAGGATATTTAAAAATTATGCCTGTAGTTTTACTAGGTAATAAAGTCTTCTGATCGTTCTGTATCCTCAAAAAACCCGTATTTAGAAGATCATCAATGAACAAGATAGCCTTATGGTACGGACGTTTCAAACTTCAATGCATATCACCATCGCCATCATTACTGAGATCGCAACTAGACTTAACTGAAAGCTATCTGTGTCTCTCATAATAAGGATGACATATCCATTGTTTATCAAAATGCAGCTACCAAAGGGACAGTAGTGCCTAAATATGGCGAGATGATTGGCAAAATAAACTACTCCACTATGCCCATGTCCGTAGAAACGACCAAAAAAGCACCTCTTGAATGTTTGCCTCATATTTTCGAAAGACCCCCTAGATAGGGTAAATGAACTGTTGTAAGCGTATCACAGTGGAAATTTGGAAAAAGTACATTAGAATGTATGACGATACCAATCTCTATGCAAAAAGCATTTACGCAAACCTATGCAGGCTCTTATATGCCATATTTTCATAGTCCTGTCTGATATAGCAAAAATTGTGCGATCAAACAGCCATTTGTTTTGGCCTGGCATAAATGCCATTCACATCAAGATTAAGTAGCTTATTTTTGAAAATCTCTGGGGAGCTATTGTTGAAAAACTATTATCACTATAGATACTTCTTTGAGATTACTAAATATTTTAGGTCCGGCTTATTAATAGTACGTTGATTGTAATTTTACTGCTAACCTTTCAAAAACCTGTTTCCAACACCAGGTTTGTAGTAAGGTTAACTTCAACAAGAAGATCATGGGATGAATAGAACGTTGTACGTAGTCATGCCATAAGTTCTGTCCCTCGTTTTCAAACAAGTGTAGACCTGTTAATACTTGTCCGATTGTTTACATTGTGGTGTCAGTTGATTAAGCGCTTTTCGGGTAATTACATATACCTCAGTTTGTATTGATCTCTCGAAGCATAACGATGGAGTGGGGCAAGGCAGAGAACCGTATTGCAGTGATAGCTTTACATAAGTGTAATCTCAGTGCTAGTCAGATTTTTGAACTCTTACGCGGCCTTCAAATATCGCGTAAATTTATGTCTAGGACCATTCAGCGGTACAATGAGACGTCCTCTGTTGATGACAGGCCAAGAAGCGGAAGACCTCGTCAAGTAAGGACTCCAGCAGCCATCAAAGCCGTAAAAGCCAGGATTCAAAGGAATCCACTCCGGAAGCAGAAGATCCTATCCAGGGAAATGAAGATTCCTGTCCGGACGATGTCGCGCATCATTAAACAAGACCTAGGGCTAGGGGCTTACCGGAGACGTACGGGCCAGCGACTTACGGCCACCTTGCGACACATCAGGGCGACAAGATCCAAGAAGCTCTTGGAGAGGTACGCAGCTGGGGGATTCCGAAAGATTTTGTTCACGGATGAGAAAATCTTCACCATAGAAGAAAAATTCAACCCACAAAATGACAAAGTGTATGCAAGGAGTTCACAGGAAGCTTCGGAGATCATTCCGAGAGTTGAGAGAGGCCACCACCCTGCGTCAGTCATGGTTTGGTGGGGGGTGTCCTACGAAGGGGTCACTCAGCAACATTTCTGTAAACAGGGCGTGAAAACAAAAGCGGCAAACTATCAGAGCGACATACTGGATCCTATCGTCAAGCCTTTAAGTGGTACATTGTTTGCCAACCAACACTGGGTCTACCAGCAGGATTCCGCCCCCGCTCACAAGGCTAAGAGTACGCAGCGCTGGCTGGAAAGCAATGTGCCAGAGTTCATTGCTGCGGAAGATTGGCCCTCAGGGAGTCCGGACCTCAATCCTTTAGACTACAAGTTGTGGGACCTGCTAGAGCAGTTGGCCTGCTCCAAAGCCCACCGTAATATCGAGTCCCTGAAAGCGGATTTGATCCGATCAGCGGCAGCTATTCCTTTGGAAGCTGTGCGTGCAGTGATAGATGAGTGGCCCGCGAGATTGAAGCAGTGTGTGAAGGCCAAGGGGGGACATTTTGAATAAAACTGTTTGATTATGAATTCTAAAAATGTTGTCGAATAAATTATATCTTTCATATAAATATATCTTATCTTGTTTCATTTTTATCATGGGACAGAACTTATGGCACGACTACGTAGTTACACTTCACTGTCTAACCTATATCCTTGATAGTGACATAGGTTGTCAATGGATGGCACGAGACACAAACATAGAGTATCACGAAACATGAAAGTTCAGAGGTCGACGCAGCGTTGCCGCATCAACAATTACGTTTCAGTTAACCAGAAGTTGGAAAAACGAATTATTGGCAAGTGAAAGTTAATTTCCAATTCTTAGCTACCTAACCTGAATGTTAATCTGCGGTTGAAAAAACGGGCCTTAGTTGGATAATTCATGTCCATGCTGGGTGAATGATTTTACCTCCAAAAAGCACATCCTGATAATGAACGTCCTTCTTGTCCTTTAGCCGTTCCTCGTCTTTCTCCCACTGTTTTCGCAATATCTCGTTTCTCAACTGATCTGACATCATCTCTGGCAATGCTTCTCCTTCCTCTACATGTTCATTCTTCTCCGTAACTTCATTGGACTTTGCTGCTATTTCTTCTTCTCTACCATGCTGCATTCGTTTCTTCTCAACCACTTCCCGCAATTTTTTATCATTTCGTTTAATGTGTTCCAGGTCTTTAGCCATGCATTGTCTTGTTCTTCCTAGGCAATCTGTATATGTCACCCTTCAAATGCCAAACAGAAATATAAGAGCATAACTTGTTTTGCACATTTTGACATAAACTTGAATAAATCAACTAACTAGTTTGTCGATAAGGATGCCCGATGTTGAAATGGAATAAAACAATATGTGCGTGAGGTAGAATGACATTTTAGATATGATATCACGTCGCTCAGATATCCACCTTGGCTTTGCATGGCGGCACATTCCGAAGAGGTTGAATTTCAAAATATTGCATTTGTTGATTGTACATTATTGGACACAGATATGTTACTCCAGATGGCGATGCACCGACAAAAAGTTGCTGCCATGTTTTCATTCCTTGAGCGGGCTGTCCTTCAGAAATACTGGGACGTAGGTATATTGCGATTGTATGGGACCTTGATGCTCGCTACTTACCGAGTTTTTCGGTAGACCACAAATGTGCTGTTTTTGTTTGCTTTCTGTTGTCTATCTCAACTAGATTATACTGATGGAT